ATAATAATAAGACTAAGTCCCCACAAGTTCTCCTGGGAGACACTTGTCTGCAGCCATCCGCTGTTTGCAGAGACAAGTGTAAACATCTTGGAGTAAATCTGTATGAGGATGAACTGGAACCCCAGTAGCAGTACTTTTTGACTGACCCTTGTACATTCACCATGTTAAACAACCGCCACTCCAATCTAGTTCGAGAACATTACCCAGAAAGGAAAGCCCTATGCCTGTTAGCATATGGTCTCCATTTCCTCAGCATCAAACCCTTGTTGTGACGTGCTGTCGAGTCACTTCCGACCCATAGTGACCCTGTATAGGGTTTCCAAGGAGTGGCTGGTGAGCTTGAACCACTGACCTTGAGGTTCAAACCAACCTTGCAGTCCAGCGCATTAACCCGCAGCACCACACCAGGACCCCGTGTTGTTGTTGTTGTTGTTATGTGCCGTGGAGTCGGTTCTGACTCATAGCGACCCTGCACAGGGTTTCCGAGGCTGTAAATCTTTACGGAAGCAGAAAGCCTCATCTTTCTCCCGTGGAACAGCTGGTAGTTTTGAAATCCACATTCTGTCTCTATAGATTAGCCTCTGGGGACATTTTATATAAGTGACATCATAATGTCCATCCAGGTTGACATTGGCAGCTAACTCCTCTCATTGTTGTTGTTACGTGCCATTGGGTAAGTTCTAACTCACAGCGACCTTATGCACAACAAAACGGAACAGTGCCCAGTCCTGGGCCAACCTCACAATCATTGCCACGCTTGAGCCCATTGCTGCTGCCACTGAGCCAATCCATCTCGTTAGGGGTCTCCCTCTTTTTCGCTGACCTTCCACTTTACCAAGCATGCTATCCTTCTCCAGGGACTGGTCCCTCCTGATAACATGTCCAAAGTATGAGACACAAAGTCTCACCTTTCTGGCTTCCAAGGAGCACTCTGGCTGCACTTCTTCCAACACACATCTGTTGGTTCCTTTAGCAGCCCATGGCACTTTCAATATTCTCCTCCAACACCATAAACTCAAAAGCATCAATTCTTCTACGATCTTCCTTATTCACTGTCCAGCTTTCGCATCCATATGAGGTTATTGAAAATACTATGGCTTGGGTCAGGCGCACCTTAGTCCTCAAGCTGACATCTCTGCTCTTCAACACTTTAAAAAGGTCTGATGTAGCAGATTTGCCTAATGCAATATGTTGTTTGATTTCTTGCCTGCTGACTTCTTGGAGGTCCCCAATCTTTCTGAGCTTCAGTTTCCTTATCCTTAAAGTATGACATTCTCATCCAGATCCCTGCCAACAATGGTAAGCTTACAGAAATGCTCACACACCTAGACAGGGCCAAGTACAACTCCCACACAGTACCACCCTGCAGTCCAAGTCTTGAAATCACCTCACATTTATCATTGATCTATCTGTTTCTATACATCTTACTTTTATTTATCTACATACCTGTTCATCCATCCATTCATACATACAGCACACCACATCTCTCTCTCTGGCCATGTATCCATCCATCCACCCTCCCTATCTATCACATCCATTTCTCTATCACATCTCTATCTATCTATCTATCTATCTATCTATCTATCTATCTATCTATCTATCTATCTATCTATCATTTATTTATCACATATGTCTATTTATCTGTTATCTATCTTTATCATATATCTATCTATCGATTGATCAATTTATTGATCTATCACATCTATCTATCTATCTTTCACATATATCTATCTGTTATCTATGTATCTATCTCTATCTATCACATCTATGTATCCATCTATCATCTGTGTATGTATGTATCTATCTATAATCTATCTACCTATCGATCTATCAATTTATCACATCTATCTATCTGTCTCCATCTATCTGTCATCTGTCTGTCTCTATCTCCTCTTCAACCCATCCATGCACACAGGCATCCATCTATCCATCCACGCATGCACACAGGCATCCATCTATCCACTCATGCACACAGGCATCCATCTATCCATCCATGCACACAGGCATCCATCTATCCATCCACTCATGCACATAGGCATCCATCTATCCACTCATGCACACAGGCATCCATCTATCCATCCATGCACACAGGCATCCATCTATCCATCCACTCACACACACAGGTGAATGGATGGATCTTTGCAGTGATTCTTAACCAGGAGTGATTCTGCCCCCAGGGGACACTTGTCAATGTCTGCAGACACGTTTAATTATCACTACTAGCTAAGGATGCTCTTGGCATCTAGTGGGCAGAGACCAGGGATACTGTTCAACACCCTTACAAAACTTAGGTCTGGTTCTGGGGTCCAGGATCCTTGGAATTTCTAGGCCTCTGTCTGCTCAAAGGGAACCCTGGTGGTGGTAAGCGGCATTTCTCAACCTCATAGGCCAATTTAACTCCTAACTCTTCCTCTGCTGGTTGGGGTAATGGCAATGCAGAATTCAGGTCTTAAGGGGGCATGTCTTAGAGATTCCCAGGGTGGTCCTAGTGCTTGAGAGAGGGCCAGTTTGTCCTCTGTCTGTTGGTCTCGCTCTGTCCTTCAGTGTGGACGGACTGCCTGCTGGAGGTATGGCAGACTTTACAAACATGGTCTAAGTGTAAAGTGACCCTAAGTGACCACTATGTTTTTGTTGTAGCAAAACAACAAAAACAAAACAAAAAAAAAAAAAACCCCAACATGATTCGGAAACAACACTTGTGAGAAACTTACCCATTTCTCTCCAAACCTCTGCAGGCTGTCTCCATTACTATTGGGTGATACCCGGATGATAACTCCAAATTTCTAAACTGCAAACTGTTTGTCAAGAAGAGCAATTCCGGTGGCTGGTCATAATGGCTCAATTCAACGGCGAGAGATGTGCACCCAGGTCACATGGCTGAGTCCCCACGGGGCCATCCGGAACACGGGCTTTCTAGCAAAGCAGGGATTTGGGCAACATTCTCTGGGTGGCCCCTCCACCCCACCACCCTTCAACATGTTTGCCATAGCTCCTGTCTGTGGCTTTGCACATTTAAGAACCCTAACGACAAACATGGGGTAACTCCCTCCCTTTGTGGTTGGCAGTCAATACCACTGCACTCAATATAAGACAACCACAACAGACGCCTGCCTGTCTAGAGTCGCATGCTGAGGATCCCCAACACACATCCTGGACCCCGGACTCAGCTCAGTCCAAGACCCGCCTGGGAATGATGGGGAGCAGACTGAAAAAGTACAGGAGAGACTCACAGCCCCAGTGGAGCAGCCACAGAGCACTTAGCTGCTAACCGAAAGGTGCCTGGTTTGAAGCCACACAGAGGGTCCAAAGGAGAAACACCTGGCTATCTGTTCTTGAGAAAACGACAGCCTAGGGTGCAGTTCTCTTCCGTTAGTCCAGGGGGCGCTGTGATGGATGATCTATAACAGTATATACGCCTATATAGTGACTCAATAGATGACAGCCTAGGAAACCCTATGGGGCAGTTTTCCTCTGTTACTCCAGGGGGCGCTGTGAGTGGATGATCTATAAGAGTATATATGAGTATATAGTGACACAATAGATGACAGCCTAGGAAACCCTATGGGGCAGTTCTCCTCTGTTACACCAGGGGGCGCTGTGAGTGGATGATCTATAAGAGTATATATGAGTATATAGTGACACAATAGATGACAGTCTAGGAAACCCTATGGGGCAGTTCTCCTCCATTA